ACACAAGCAGTGCAAGAGGGAGAAGCAGGCTTCCCACCGAACAGGGAGCCTAAGGTGGGTGGGGCTCAACCCCAGGACCCTGGGACCATGACCTGGGCCAAAGGAAGAGCTTAACGACTGAGCCACCCAGGCGCCCCTGTATGCTAGTATCTTATGAAATCAAGTTGGTACAGGAAATTTTCACCAATATTCAAAATATGCGCATCATCTTGTTTTCCCCCCTACCCTGTTTGTTGATTCTTGCAAAGAATTTAAAAAGACTCTCCAAAATCGATCAGCTTCACAAAATAAAGTCCCAAAATAAAATTCAAAATTAGAAATGTAATAATATTAGTGGGTAGCCCGCTTTACCCAAAACACTTTTCACATACATTCTTTCCTTTAATCCTCACAAGGAGTCTACTGCTATTCTACAGAGAAAGAACCTAAACTAAGGCTCTCAAAGGCTAAATGAGACCTAGCCAACCAAGAATCCAAGAATCTGAACCCAAGTCTCTGATACCACAGCCCATTCTTTTCATCTCACCATGCTGCCTCTCTGGTTTAAGGTAATCAATTTTTCTTGTGACAAGAAAATCTGACTATAGAACAAAGAGAGCAAACTGTTTTTTAAAAAATTGTCACAAATTTCATCAAACATCCGTTTTTTGATAGATAAGTTACTGGTATGCTACATGAAACAGGGGTAACCATTCCAATTCGAAATAATCTTGTTATCTTAGTAAATAAAAAATATTAAGTCCACATCTGACTTCAGTTTCATCTTTCATAAATTTATATTATATCAAATATAAATAAGCCTAGAAGGGAAAATGGAAAGAACAGTTATGTAGGGATGGTAGGATTTTATATAGGGATGTTTTCTATTTTAAAAAATTTTCCTTTAAGGGTACCTGGGTGGCTCAGTTGGTTAAGCGACTGCCTTTGGCTCAGGTCATGATCCTGGAGTCCTGGGATGGAGTCCTGCATGGGGCTCCCTGCTCAGTGGGGAGTCTGTTTCTCCCTCTGACCCTCCCCCCCCTCATGCTCTCTCTCTCAAATAAAATCTTTAAAAATAAATATTTCCTTTAAAATTGTTTTAATAAGGTAACACCTTTTTTAACTGCCATTACAAATATCTCTACTATATATCAGTACTTAATAAAGATACAAAACAATCATTAATTGGCAAGTATAACTTTTTATTTTTTAAAGATTTTATTTATTTATTTGAGAGAGAGAGACAAAGATAGCCACAGAGAGCACAAGCGAGCACAAGCTGGGAGGAGAGGGAGAAGCAGGCTCCCCACCGAGCAAGGAACCCAGTGCGGGATTTGATCCCAGGACCCGGGGATCATGACCAAAGCCGAAGGCAGACGCTTAATTGACTGAGCCACCCAGGTGCCCCAGCAAGTGTAACTTTTTTAAAAAACCGAAAGTAATTCTCAGGTAATTAAGACCCTCTAATGAAATCTATGAATACTCAAAAATCTACTTTACTTTTCTATGAATCCTGCTAAAATAAGTATCAACAGGGGGGCTAGGTTATTATGCATTCAAAGTTTGTTAATAACAAAAACTAGTTGACATGAATGGGCCATTAATAAATTGTGATTTGGGGTTGGGGGGTGGGTTAACTGATGAATCACTAAATTCTACCCTTGAAACTAATACTATACTACATGTTAACTAATTTGAATTCAAATAAAATCTTGAAAGAAAACAAAAATAAAAAATAGTGATTTGAAACTTTGTTTATAAGGATTTTTATCCTAAGATTTTTATTGTCTTATGGGACTTATAACTAAGAATTATTATTAATTTATTAATTCGTCTTCATTATTCATTTAAAAATGAAAACAATTAAAAATACTTTGTCAGTTTAGGGGTGCCTGGGTGGCTCAATTGGTTAAGCGGCTGCCTTCGGCTCAAGTCATAATCCCTGGGTCCTGGGATTGGATCGAGCCCCAAGACAGGTTTCCCTGCTCAGCAAGGAGTCTGCTTCTCCCCCACCACCACCCACTCACGCTTGCCTGCACATACTTTCTCTCTAATAAATAAATCTTAAAGAAAGAAATACTTTGTCCATTTAGTAATAACAATCTTTATTGCCACCTCAACGAAATTAAGATAATTATACAAAATTTTAAGTCAACATCTCATTTTCTAATTACCTCAAAATGGCATTAAAACAAATATAGAAATCTGAGTTTTCATTTACTTACTATCAGAATTCAAAATTGTAAATAATATAAAATAAACAGTAAAAACCAAATGTGTTCTGTATTCAGAATGGTTAAAGAGGAAAAATAGCATTAATAGCCAATCTAGTAATGAATTCTTTTACATTTTCACACAAATTCTACATTAAAACCTCTGAATAAAATTGTTTAAACTCCAAATTACTAAATCTGTTTCTACTGTTCCAAAAATATGCTACGTAAGTAACACCCAATTTATATCCTCCAAACTGAAATTTACAAAGCAATCATTTGCTTTAAGGAAAGTATAATGTCATATGAGTTAATAGGAATGAAGAAAGGGGCAGCTGGAAACTGTTCATTATCTGTATTTTCATGTTTATTTCAAGTTAATTTCTTGGTACAGAAACAGGTACCTTTAAAGAAGTATTTGTATTTTCCTAGTTCATAAGATATTTTGAAAATAAATCAAGCAAGCTAGGGTTAAATTAGTATTCCTATTCATTCAACAAACATATATTTGTGTCATCACAATTATCATTACAGGAATTACTTCACCTACCAATGTTTATTTCTCAGAAAAGTATAAATCCAAAACTGGAGAAACTTTTTAAAAGATAATTTTAAAACTCACTAGAGAAAAGTCTACACAAACGGAAGTCTGCAAATGGTTGAAAACAGATGTCACCACAGCAACCCCAAAAGAAGATGATGAAGGGATGTACTTACGTTTCAAAACAACGATCCACGTTGTCAGACATCAAAAGCAGCATGCATAGCTGTTCAAGGGCTATTAGTTGCATATCCCTTTCATCTCCCTGTCCCATCTGTAGCCATTCCAGCAATGTATCAGGATCCACATCTGCCATGGTTTTTTAAAAGCCTCTTTGCTTAAATTAAAAAAGTAAAAGGAAAAAGTCCTTTAAATACCCAGGACTGATCAGCTTGGGTTTAAAAAATTTTCTTTTACATCGGCTAGAACCAAATGTTCTTGGTGTCCTCCTAGGAATCAGAAAAGACTCATAAGTATGTTTGAGAGAGTACTTCAATGCAGTTTTTCAACTTTATTTCTCCAGTTTAACATTCATATATCATACTAAATAAAAATCAGTTTTGCGCTAGAGAATAAGCTGATTAGGTTGCTACTTAACTGAAAACCAGAGCTGTCTTTGTCAAACACAGTCAAGCTTCAGATCCCACTACTGCTATCACCAACGTCTGTGCCAAAAGGCAAAAAACACCTTACTAAAGGTTCTTTTTTTTTCCCCAGCAAACTTCTTACCCCATCCTCCACCCAAAACTGATCTTCAGATATGTGTTAGATTCCGTATTTTGAGGAGATGATTCTAAGCACTGTGTCCAATCCCCCTTCAAATTAAGTTTCTGCTTTAAAATGATCTCCAATTCCACAAATTCTGCTGACTTCCCAATTTACTTACTGCTCCATAAGACATCCACATACAAACAATAATCAGATACAAGTTGTATCTATGAATAAAGGCGTAGTTAAGAATTCTGGCAGTCTTGGCAACTCTTAAAAAGTTTAAAAAGAAATGCTAAAAGTAAATGCAATGGACTAACACCTTACGGATCCGAATACAGGCCAATCTATGGCCCTCTTTCCCCATCTCCACAGAATGGGGCAGTTGGTTAAAAAATAATAATAATAATACAAAATAGAGAAGCAGCCCCAAGAGGCAAGTCATTACAAAAGCCCGGAGGCGCCCCGACGGAAGGACAGCTTTGGATCCCAGGTAACCCAGATGCAGGTGTGTGAATCCAGCCGCCGGTCCCGGTGGGCACCCAACGGCGGCGACCAGCAAGGATGACCCAACACTCCGGGCCCAGTCGAGCGCCGCGCCGGGAAGCGCAGGCACCGCGCTCTGCTTTCCTGGCACCAAACCTTGCTAAGTTAGCTACCTGTGTCTACGAGGGGGAAGTTCTGGAGGAGAGGCAGCACGCCTCCGTGCCCAGAGCAGGCCGCCGGGCCGAGCAGGCGGCGGGTCTCTCGGGAGCGGCGCCCGGAACTTCAAGGCTCGGGGGGACGTCCCTGGCCCGACCGGGAGGCGAACCCTTCTCAAGGGCAAGGGGGCCCGCCCTGGGCTCCGGTTCGGGCAAGCCAGGCTCCGGCTCGAACAAGGCGGGCCCCACCGCGGGCAGGGCCGGGGGAGGGGAACAAAGGGGCTAAGCGGGTTAGTCCGCAGCAGGCCGGCCGACCTCACCCGGAGCCGGGGTCTCGCTCCCCGCACGCCGCCGGGCATCCCGGGTCGCGGCCCCCAGGCCTGGCCCTTCCGACCGCCTAAGGCGCTTCCGCCTCCCCGTCCCTCAAGCTCTTACCGGGGCTCGTCGTCCCAAACCGCTCCGGTCCAGCTCCAAGCAGGCCGCGGGCAGAGCCAGGCCCGGCCGCGGCCCTCGAGTTACCAGGAAGCCGCAGGCCGCGCAGGTCGAGCCGGGCAAGCGGCACAGGAAAAGCCGCGCCTCGTCCCTCCCCTTCCTCCGCGGGGACCTGGTGACAGGGAAGCGAGAGGTTCCTCCGACCGGCGGCAGCCAGCGCACGTCCGGTCCCCGGCACGCGGCTCCTCAGGCCCGCAGCTCAGAGGCCCGCGCGGTGCTGCCGGCGGCGGCGGCGGGGGGCGGCCGCGTCCATCGCGATCCCGGAGGGGGAAGGGAGGAGGGTCGGGCGAGAGGGGGGAGGGGAAGCTGCGGAGGACAGCCGAGCTCGGCGGAGGCGGAGCAAATCGACTCTCCCGGCAGCGACCCCACCGGCCGCCAGGTGGGGCGCTGCGGAGACCGGTCGGCCGGCGGCGCAGTACCCCAACCTGGGTAGCCGGGCGGCGGGCCGCGTGGCCGCCACTACCGGGACGCTGTGGCCCTGCGCGCCTCGGACTCCCTAGTCAGCTGTCGCTTTTCTGTCGTACGCCCGCACCCTGGTGCACGCACGCTCAGCCTGTTTTGCACCGTGCCTACACACTTGGCGTGCTCCGCGTTAGGCCCCCACGCTACACGTCATAGCTGTGGCCAACCTGTCCTTGCCGAACCCCAGCGGGCCGGGCGGCCCGTACTGCGCCGCGCGCTCCCCCCTCCCTGCGAGGCAGCCCTACTCGCGCACGGAAGTGCGTCCCGGGAGGAAAAGCACCTCCCCGGGGTCTTAGGAGGCAAACCGCCCGCAGTTCACCAGAAGGAAAGCCTTTCACCACAACCCCGGGAAGTAAATATTTTCAAGCAGTATCTCCATTGCACTGATGAGAGAACTGAGGCTCCCAAGAGCGTAAATTCAGGCCCAGTGGCGTCCCGGTAAGCAGCACCGCTGAGAGGGTGCTTTTGACTCTTTTTCTTGTGGGTTGTGGTCTCAAGTACCTCCGTGGTTATTCCCTTCAAACGTTTTGTGTTTCACACGCTTTGAGAATAAAATAGGCCTGCCATTGGAAAAAAAAAAAGGGCCTGCTTATAAGACCTACTTGGAGATTCTTAGGATGTAGTTAATTGGAAATGTGAATATAGCTTTTTTTTAAATAAAGAAATGAATCCCTTGGTTTGGGAGATAAGTAAACCCATACCTCAGACACTCTCACTGTACTCTCCCCTTTCCATCTTTTATAACAAAAATGAATATTACATAACAGTATTTGAGTTGTGTTCTTTTAAGCGATCTGCATGTGCTTGAAGAACCAGTATTTTGGAAATTACAGATTTGCACTTCAAATATATATGGGCACATATCCCACTGTCACAGGTCATGGTCCCTAGGTCTCCTGTTATCAGTTCAAATCAAGACAAAAGGGTAGAGGATTCTACTATCTTGTCACAACTACAACACATGACAATAATTGTTTGGGAGCTATGACTACGATGTGGAGCTGCCAATAAAATCTTCAAGGAGGAGGGTCTTTATGGACTGTGAAGAATGGGTGGGATATGGACAGTGCAAGGGAGGGCAAAGAATACAAGCAAAAGCCTGATATCTTCTGACAAAGGAAAGAGGAACTGTGCCCCAAGCAAAGAACCTGCATTAAGCAATGAAGGGGAGACAAGGTTGGGACTAAAGCATGCAGGGCCTTGCATGCCAACTGAAGAATTTTGGCTTAGATAAGTAACAAGTTTTGGATTAGAACACTGATGAGAAAAATCAGTCTTAGAAAGATTGACAGAATGGCTAAAAGGAGCTACCTAGACAAGACAATTAGCTGGGAGGTTGCTGAAATCCGCTAATGGTGGAGGAAGGAAGGGCCTAGTTATTGGCAATAAGAATGGAGAAGAGCTAAATCTAACAATTATTATTTTTTTTAAAGATTTTATTTATTTATTTGAGAGAGAGAGAGACTGAGAGAGAGAGACCATGAGAGGGGGGAGGGTCGGGAGGGTCAGAGGGAGAAGCAGACTCCCTGCCGAGCAGGGAGCCTGATGCGGGACTTGATCCAGGGACTCCAGGATCATGACCTCAGCCGAAGGCAGTCGCTTAACCAACTGAGCCACCCAGGCGCCCAACAATTATTTTTTTAAAAAGATCAGAATTTAAATACTAACTTCAATTCTTTTTTATTCTTTATTTTTTAAAAAGATTTTTACTTATTTAAGATAGAGCGAGAGTGAGCCAGAGAGCACGAGCAGGGGGAGCAGAGGAAGAGGGAGAAGCAGGCACCCCACTGAGCAGAGAGCCCTGCGCACGGGACTCAATCCCAGGACCCTGGGACCATGACCTGAGCTGAAGGCAGACACTTAACTGAGCTGAGCAGAGAGCCCTGCACGGGACTCAATCCCAATCATGACCTGAGCTGAAGGCAGACGCTTAACTGACTGAGCCACGCAGGGGCCGACAATTCTTATTTTTTAACCTGCAGAGAAGACTTGGAAGCTAGGAAAGTGATTATGCTATTAACAGAAAATAGAAAAGTTAGAAGAGACTACACTTAAGTAATTTTTTAAGGCATATTTTCCTTTATTCCCCCACCATCTTTATTCGCATCACCCCTTATATATCCCAAAATGAATGACTGTAGTATGCTTTAAAGAAACCTTATCCAAAAAGTGCTATGACTTTTATTGTGATTTCATTATTATGTTATTTTAAATTAAAATATGAAATTCCAGAACAAGAGCATTCAAGTAAAAGAATAAAGCCCTGACAAAGCAGAAGATCTTGTGAAAGCAACTGACCGTACCTGAATATATATCCCAAGCAACCAGGATATGTTTACATGTTAGTATTTCACCTCCATGTCAAAATATAGTAATAGTGGCCATTGGGGGGCGCTTGGGTGGCTCAGTCAGTTAAGTGCCTGACTTCAGCACAGGTGATTTTGGGGTCCTTGGATCAAGTCTTGCAGAGCAGATGCTGCTAGGCAGGGAGTCTGCTTGAGGATTCTCTCTCCCTCTCCTTTTGCCCCTCCCCCGGCTCATGTTCTTTCTCTCTCTCAAATAAATAAATCAATCTTAAAAAAAAGAAGAAGAAGAAGAATGGCCATTGGGAATTGCTATGTACCAGACACAGTATAAGGCAGTGGGTCACAGACTTCATCTTCAATAAACTATATAAAAGTCTAGGAGAAGGTAGATGTGAACACACTTCGCTTGTCTTCCTCCATGATAATACTTATCACAGAAATATTGTCAACTACACTGAGAACATCAAGGAGGTAATGGCATGTCAGAAGCCTTCAAAAATGATGTGTGGGGGCCTGGGTGGCTCAGTCGTTAAGCGTCTGCCTTCGGCTCAGGTCGTGATCCCAGGGTTCTGGGATCGAGCGCTGCATCGGGCTCCCTGTGCAGCGGGGGGCCTGCTTCTCCCTCTCCCACTCCCCCTGCTTGTGTTCCCTCTCTCGCGGTCTCTCTCTCTGTCAAAAAATAAATTAAAAAATCTTAAAAAAAAAATTAGGGTCGCCTGGGTGGCTCAGTTGTTAAGCGTCTGCTTAGGTCATGATCCCAGTATCCTGGGATCGAGCCCCGCATCGGGCTCCCTGCTCCGCGGGAAGCCTGCTTCTCCCTCTCCCACTCTCCCTGCTTGTGTTCCCTCTCTTGTTGTGTCTCACTCTGTCAAATAAATAAATAAAATCTTTAAAAACAAAAAATGATGTGTGAACTACATCTCAAATGTTCAGTTGGAGCTGGCCAGACATTGGGAAAACCAGGTGGAGAGGCACAGAAGTGTGAAGAGGGCTCCTTTTTGGGAAACAGGGAAGAGGTCACTGTTTGGGCATAGGCCCCACTTTTATGAAGTATCTTCAATATATACACAGTTAACTGGGATTGATTCACAGGTTCAGAAAGAAAGATAGCGTTCAAATGTAAACTCTTATCCCACTGACTGACATTACTATGAATTAATTTTTAAAATAAATCCTATCTTGGGGCACCTGGGTGGCTCAGTCGTTAGGCGTCTGCCTTCAGCTCAGGTCATGATCCCAGCGTCCTGGGATCGAGCCCCGCATCGGGCTCCCTGCTCCGCGGGAAGCCTGCTTCTCCCTCTCCCACTCCCCCTGCTTGTGTTCCTGCTCTTGCTATCTCTCTCTCTGTCAAATAAATAAATAAAATCTTAAAAAAAAAAAAGTCTTGTGAATAACACAGTTACATGGCATCACGTTTTTTATGTATTAAAAGCATCATTAGATATAAACATTTCAAACATGCTACAAAAAAATGGGCATTTCTTCAACTTTTAACTGGAAATGGGACTTTCTCTGGCTTCTCTCAACTTCTGAGAAGCTATAACTATGAAAGAGTGTGGCCATTTTGGAACAGTAGGAAATGAAATTTGGCTGGAACCTCGGGTAGAGTTAGTGGCTGGAAGAGAACATTGAGGTTAATTGGAATTAGTTTGCTAACAGTCTTGAACACCATGCTAAGGAGTCTGAAGTTTGTTCTTTGGGCAATGGGGAGGCTTTGGATGTTGTAAACAAAGGAGCACTGTGATATGATGCAGGGGTTAGGATTATTAGCCATCTTCAAGTTAAAAGTAATTTCTATAAGGGTGCCTGGCTGTTTCAGCCAGTAGAGCATGTGACTTTTGATATTCGGGTTGTGAGTTCAAGCCCCATGTTGGACATAGAGCTTACTTTAAAAAATTAAAAAACCATAAAATTGATTTCTATAAAGATTTACAGTTAGCAAGAGACTTTAACAAAAATTATTTAATCCTCCTGTATTATTTAATATATATGAAAAATGAGCTGTGTTATCATAAGCATTATTTTACATAAGAGAAAAAGCTCAGACAAGTTAGGTGACTTGCTCCTGCTCTCACAGCTAGTAAAGGACAGGTCTAATTCTCAAACCTGGTCCTTCAACTCTTGGGCTCTTAGAGTCTGAAGGAATATTCAAGATAACCTGGGCTGCCTGACTAGCTCAGTAGGGGAAGCATGCAACTCTTGATCTCAGGGTTGTGAGTTCAAGCCCCACATTGAGTGTAGAGATTACTTAAATAAATAAAGAAACTAAAAAAAAAAAAAGAGAGAGAGAGAGAGATAACCTATTCTACCGTCCTTCATGTTGAAAACAAAACAAAACAAAGACAAAAACAAAAAAACAGTGTAGTCATCTGTGCCATCCCTGACTTGTTATCCAGATTCTTCTATTATATTTCCAGTGTTGGGAAATTATTACTTCATGAGGCAATGCACTTTACTTCGATCTACCAGCTTCAGTTATTAGAAGGTGGTATGGTAAAAGGCTATACACACAAGAGTTGGCTGAGCAGTGTGTGAAAACCAGTTCCCATTTTACTAGCTTGGTGAACTTGGCAAATTATTTAATCCTTCCAAACCTCAGTTCCTTCATATGTAAAATAGGATAACCACAGCTACCTAATCAGATGGATGTTAGAAGAATTTAAGGCTTTTTGGCATGCAAAAACCAAGGCCAGTAGTTCTCAACCTTAGCTGCGTATTAGATTCATTGGAGAACATTTTTTATTTTAATGATTTTATTTATTTATTGACAGAGAGAAAGCGAGAGAGGGAACACAAGCAGGGGGAGTGGCAGGCAGAGGGAGGAGCAGGATCCCTGAGCAAGGAGCCTCCTGGGATGATGACCTGAGCCAAAGGCAGAGGCTTAACCGACTGAGCCACCCAGGCATCCCTAGGGAGATTTAATTTTTCTTTTTTTAAAGATTTTATTTATTTATTTGACAGAGAGAGAGACAGCGAGAGAGGGAACACAAGCAGGAGGAGTGGGAGAGGGAGAAGCAGGCTTCCTGCGAAGCAGAGAGCCTGATGTGGGGCTCGATCCCAGGACCCTGGGATCATGACCTGAGCCGAAGGCAGACGCTTAACAACGGAGACACCCAGGCGCCCCGGGAGATT